GGGGGGGGGGGGGAATTAGGAGAGAATGCTTCCCATTCTTAATCCTTGCTTCCTTTTGTATTTGGGGAATTTATTTTACTTTTTAAAGTAGCATAAGAAATACCCATGTTTCCTCTCCCCACTCCCCCCTATAATGCCCTGCCCTGGAAGGTAAGCGTACCCTTGAACCAAGCTTCACCTCACACTAAGTCCTGCCTCCGCTCTCAGGCTCTCAGAGGTCAGCAGCCCACTCTCTAGGAACAAAACCCTCACTCCTCTGTGGTCCTCCTTGGAGATCCTGTCCTCGGGATCCTTACCTTCTCTCCTCCACTTCCCGAGTGCTGTGAAAAAGGGACGTCAGTGGGTGTGTGCCCCACAGAGAGAGAAGACCTCGGCAAGGCCCATCTCAGCCCCCAAGTGCTGTGGGTTTGGCCTCTCTGTCCTGCTCCATTTCAATAAACTAAACATTTACCCAACAGACAGCTGCCATCACCTAAAAGGCCCTGAGTCTCCTCTAGAGTCAGGAGAGAAGGAAAGAGGAAACTTTGAACCAGCTCCTCAGTCACTGTTCTTATTGAACCATCCAAATGCTGAAGCCTCAGAGACAGAAAGAATATTTATACAAAGCGCGTTGACCCTCACCCCCACCCTCTTTTCTGGGGCAGCACTTGAACTCTTGCAAACCAGATAAAGGCTCGGAGAGCCAGTTTGCATACTGGGCTCACCAGCCAGTCCCAGTTAAAGCAGGCAGCGGCAATTTGCATGAGGTAATCAGGCAGCTGGCCGTCTGGCCACCCGGAGGTGTGGAGATAATCAGGATGAAGGGAAGGGTGGACCTCTGCTCCAGGGAAAGCGGGGAGAAAACTTATTATTTTTAGGGCAATAATGTATGTGGCTCTGGCAGAGATTTAAACTGTGGCCCCTGGGGGTATAGTGACTACACGGTAGGGGGGATGACTTCCTGGCCAAGCAAAGCAGAGATGGGGAGTCCAGATGCTCTCCAATCCTTAGAACAGCCCAGAAGCAGAGGAAGAGTGAGCAACCTCGGGAGCTACTGTGGCTCAAGCACTGTTTTGGAGACCTGCCAAAGTGACGACCCCCAGGTGAACACTCGGAGCTCCGTACAGCCCTCCCCAGGCCTCCGCACTGTCCTGCATGGTCACAGACCCCCGGGGGAGATCCTGCAACTGAACCTGGCCTCCTCCTCTCAGTGCTCTACATCTAGGAGGGCATTTCCAGAGCCCAAGCCTTTCTGCTGCAGTTTGGAAGTCTCTGTGTCGCCTGCCATGCATGAATATGCAGACTAACTAGTGTAGGCCCCTTGGACACATCCGCGAAGGGCTCTGCTGCTGCTCCCCGCATGCCCATGGGAACCGGCTTTGCTCATCCCACCCCCAGCACGGCCCCTGGAGCAGGGCATGGCCCTATACAGGTGCGCTCACTTTCACTCCCCACAGGGATTCTTTGGCAGTGCTGAGAAAGTCAGAGGCTGCGGGGGAAATGTGGGAAGAGGAGAGTCCTCTCCGTGGTGATTTTTAAATCTGCTTCAGCAGTGCCTTCAATTCACAGACCTGGGTCTAATTCCAGGGCCAGTCGCAACTAGCTGCGGGGCCCTGGCCACATATCTGAGCCTCAGTTTTCTCAACTAAAAAATGGGAATTAAGATATTTCCCAGAGTTACTGTGAGGAGCAAATAAAATAGTGAAAGAAAACTGCCCTGGCATAAAGCAAGCATGTAATAATTGATTAGCTAAACAGATACTTCTCCTAGTACCTCAAACAGCTCTACAGCTCTGCCTAAGCACCATTATGTGTCCTCTGCCTGGGGAACCACTGGCATTCTCCAAATTCCGACTTCATAGAAAAAATGCTCACGTGGACAGGAAGAGGTCAAGATTCAGTAAGGCTGGGATGATGCTCAGAGTCTCTGAATCAGCTGATTTCAAACTCCTGACATTTAGGAAGGGTACTTTTTTAGCTAAATCATAATTTCATGCCTGTAACCCAAACTCTCTCTCAATACCCATCCCTCGAATTGCCTTTAAATATACCCCAAAGGCATGTCACTCATCCTTTCAATGAGCTTAAAAGGTAGTCCTGATCATGTGTAAAAATAACTTTTGAAGGAGTCACAGGCCCCACACTCTGCCAGGACATCTACTCACTTGATGTGCTCACTGTGGAAGCCACACTGACACTTCTGGGTTGGACAAGGTGTTGAGCCCGAGTGGAGGGGCAAGCTGAGATGACCTGAAAAAGCTCTTCTAAGTCCTATAGGATACTACGATACTGAGAACCTGTTTCTGTTGGGTAGGAGACTGAGGCTAATGGGTGGGACGAACTCTTGGGTCTCAGCCTAAAAATGGGCCAATACCGAAACTCCCCAAGACGCCATAACCCTTCTCCTGTCAGACGGCACTTGCAGGGGTGAGTGCGAGAGGTGTAGGGTGCGGCCAGGCTTCTCGGCTCTTATCTCAGTCACAACTGAGTAGGCTCTTTGCCATCACTCCCTTCCCTGGGGAGGCTCAGCTGCTCTATATAAGAGCCCAGATACCAGATGCAGACTTTCATCCACCTCCCTGGCACCCCCACAATCTAAAGCTGGGGCAATATGTTGGCAGCTGCCTTGCCCCTCCCTGTGCCTTGGCATGACCCAGGAGTAGCCCCTCCTTACACATCTGTGAACCAGGATGTGAGTGTGAACTTGCAGGAACCAAGTCCAGGGGCAGTGTTTCCCCCAGGCTGCAGGCTGAGTGTCCACACAGTCTTGGACCCCCCGAGTCCAGCTCCCTCCTGACTCCTCCCTCACACACCTACTGATGAGGCACTTCCACTAGAGGGAATTCAAAGGACCCAGCAGTTCTACTTCTGAGCCAGCCATGGCTCCCACTCTCCCCTACAGGAGACTTCTCTTCAAGAGAGAGACCCACTTCCTCTCACAATAGGCCTTCCAACCCAGACGGCATTTCTGGGCTGTACCTGGGATAAGTCTGTGAGACCTGATCCACTTTCTGAGGGGACAGCTCACAATTTGCGGGGCAGAAAAAGAGATGCCTGTGGCCAGCCAGGTGCCCCCCTCTGGCTGGCTATTCAATGTTTTCCTCTCCTTTCCCTCCTCCCCCATCTGCCTGCCTGTCTGACTCTTATTTGCCTCTCTGACTGCTTTTAGCCTGGGAGCAAGGAGCCCCTCTTTAGCTAGGGTGCCCACATGCCTGGTGACCTCATGCCTGCTCAGGTTTTCCTGCTCCCATGTGAGAGATGCTTTATGAAGTACAAACTGCCAAGGCCCCAGGCAGACCTGATCATGGCTTACACCCAGGTTATCAGAGCAAAAAGCTGGGCTGATTCAGGGGCCACAGTACCTGTGGAGCGGTCTGAGGAGGTACACCTGCTCTGCGATCCTGCTCCCTGTCCTTCCACCTCTCAGCCTGTTCCAGTCAATCAACTGAGGAGTCCCCAAGGGCCTACGACTTGGAATTCACAGGAGAAGCGCTGTTTATAAAGAATCAGCAGGATATAGGATTACTGTGAGGGGTAAAATAGGACCCAAAAGACCAAACTTCCACCAAGAGGATCCTGGACTGAGAGACCCTAGAGAGGGGCCCATAATGAGGCACTCCATAGAGGGGCACCCCTCACAGACCCCACAGCAGAGCCTTCACTGAGAGATGCTACAGACAACCTGGACTGCAAGGCCCACTGAGGAGGCCCAGCAGAGCGAAGCTTCAGGCGCAGGCCCATTCAGAGAGACTCCACAGAAAGTCTCAAATGGAGAGCGCCCTCTGAGATGTCACTGGAGGGAGCCAAACACGCAGAGGGGCCCAGACAGCCCTGAGGGCAGATAGTCTAAAGCAGTGGGCTGGGGAGGGGCAGCCAGTAAATGTAGAGAAATGAGTCTGTCAACCCATTCAAAGTGGATGGAGACCCTGCCCTGAGGAGTCACCCCTACCTTAGGTTTATTTCAGTCTCCCCTTTTGTGCCTGGAACCCACCGGGGTGAGGGAGATGTCTGGGCTTCTGAGAGGCATCAGTGCGGAGCTTCCTCCAAGGCCAAGGCATGGGGGGCTAGGCCCTCTCACCTCAACTTCACTCTCTTTCCTGTTTTCTGCTAGATCCTCTTAGCCTGTAGACTGCTTTCCTTCTGGGCACCACCTGTCCCACTTTCTCCCACTTCCCTGAGCTGGAGCCTCCATACACAATGAGATGAAAAGCCCCCAGGAAGTCTCTGATCTTGGCCCTGAAGAACTTGCCGCTGGGGCCCATGTTGACATGAAGAAGAGGGGATCTGCTCCCAGGTGTGCCCAAACCCATGCTGGTGCCACAGGGACTGGAAACAGATTTCCCCCACACATTTGATACCAGTCGGATGGTTCTCTGGGCCTCACCTAACCCTTCCTGCCAGTCCTGGCACCTGCGGATCTGCTCGGTGTCAGCACCTCTCTGTTAGCCCGCCATTCACATAGTCCTGCCGGACTGTGTCTGGAGAACTGTGGGTCCCAGGGCTCCGTGAACACCGACTGCTGCTTCTTTTCAGGATTGGGGGACCCCAGGAAGGGCTAAAGCCTCCAGCCTGCTCTACTCCTTGGAGTGGGTCAGAAAAATTGCCTCCCCCACTTTTCCTCCCTCCTCCTTCAGAAAGGAGAGCAGGTGACAAATTCCTGTCGACGGTGCCGAAATCCCAAATGAAGGTCGCTGGGAGGCAAGCTGCGGGCTTGCAATGGCCGGGCTGGGGCGAGCTTTCTTCATCGCGAGGCTGTGCTCTGCGCAGGCTCCGAG